AATTTTCACATATTAATTTATTGATTTAATGTAATCCAAGCAAAATCCTCAATTTATTTCATAATTTGTTCAACTAATATTCACATTACTTAAGTTAGACTGACTAAGGTGAGAGAAGGTGTTAACCTTCCAGAAATTAAACATATTTTAAATCTCCAATTATTGAAGTAGTGAATTACTATCATAAAATTCTACAGTAAATCAACATTCGGAACCTTAGAAACATAAACATTTTAAAAATAATGAACACAACACAAATACATAGAGAATAGATTGTGCAGAGTAAAAAATACCAATTTCTGAAAACCCCTTCAAGGTCAGAAACTTAGCTCCATATAAATTTAAGATGGATACAACAGTCACTAATATGGTATTATGTAAAAATATGGATGTGTTACGTTGTGATTCTGCAACTTGTATTTGGGGTAAAAATGGGAGTTCATAACCCACTTGAATCAAATGTATGAAAGATGATATGTCATGAGCTTTGTAATGTTTTGAACAACGAATAAAAAAATCATGTAGATTTTTTTTAAATGGAAGTATAAGAATTCAGAATAAAGATGAGTATCTTGACAACTATAAAATAGAAACAATGCTAAACATGATATCACAATGAGAGAACTTTGATTTTTAATTTAGAAACAAATGTAAAAACACTAAAAGGCAAAAGGGAACCTAGAAAAATATTCCCAATAAATGTATTTTATACATGATGTGATGAAAGCTCTTAAAAATAAGAAAACATTGAGAAAAACTGAAAAACAGACATAGCACACATGAGAATGGAAACATACACACACATACAGCCAACATTTCTATTAATAAAAATGTAAAATATCGACGACAAACTTTTTTTTTCTAACAAGTATATAGAGTGCAATGCTTAATAGTGGTGAAAGTGTGGTGAGGCTAGTATTTTCTAACTATTGGTTGGAGTTTATGAGTGCTTTTACCAGCATTGCAAATAAATTTAGCAATGTATACCTAAATCCTTAGGATTTTTATTTCTATCTTTTCCCTTATTCTAAGGAATATAGTAGATATATGAGCATGAGCCAAAATTCAGAAACAAATGTGTTTGTTGTAAGGTTATTTATAATGATGAAAAATTGGACACAAACTAAATGACTAAAAGCAAAAGAAGGGTGAAATATGATGTACTCATATATAGCTTATTACTCAGATCAATTTCTCAGAGAAATTAATGACCTAAGGAAATACAGTAAAATTAAATGAAGAAAATATATACAGAATGTTTTTAGGGTTTGATCCCAATTAAATATATAAATCTCAATTATAATGAATAAGTCTGTCTCCTCTGTTTTTCCTGGCTGAATGCTATTAAGATGAAAAATATACAAATAAATAATAAGATATATTATTCAAAGTGGGGAGGTATTTAGTTATGGAATTTTATTCTACTACACAAGATGATCTGGAGTCAAATACTAACGGAGACAAAGACTTGCAAAAAGAGTAGAAAAAAGAGAAAATGATGAAGTAGTACCTTAAAATCTAGACCCAAAGTGTTGAAGTCATCTTAGGATATTTAAGGACCAACCATCACATGAAGAATGTTTATAGTAAAATTTTTCCTCTCCCAGAAATGCTTCTAAGATCAGAATCTGAGAGGGAAATAATGATATCCCACATTCTAAAACAAGCTGCCAGCAACTGAAACCAGCCACTTCCCCATAAAGTTCACAGAGATGTAATACTGGCAGTAGATCTAGTATCGACAATGTCCAAAATCCTCTATATCCCATTCCCTGAAAGGAAAAGTGATAAAAGAGAGTCTGACTCTAAATGCAAGTGCTTTTAGGAATACTTCAACCAATTTTCCCTTATACTTTTTATTTATACACGAGGGAGCATGTGACAAAAATATAGATGAATTTAATAGAACAAGTTTCTTAGTAAAATAAAAACTTTGATTGATTATAGTTCAAACAGCAGCCACTCTGTCCCCACTCTCCATACCATTGGTACTCAAGATAATGGTACTGAGCAGCCTGTGACTGAAAGTGTCTTGAATTTGGTGAAATACTGTACGTGTACATTAGGGGGTAAACTAGATCATCTTTCACAATCAGTATTGCAAAGAATTGGAAAGATTCTCCTAGAACAGTAACACATACACAATGGCAGCATTCACTCATTCACTGAACATGACTATTCTGTGTCAGGCATTATTTCAGAAGCAAAGATTATAGTAATAAATAAAATTCACAAGAAGGGGCTGGAGTTGTGGCTCAGTGGTAGAGCACTTTCCTCACAAGTGTGAGGCACTGGGTTCGATCCTAACACCACATAAAAACAGATAATGGCATTGAGTCCATACACAACTAAAAAATAAAAATAAAAAACCCAACACACAAGAAGCTTAATTTCACATGTGGGGACAGTACACCAAAAAATAACAACATCATAGAGCATGCTAATTTTAGGAACTAAAGAGAAGGGTAAAAACAGGGAGAAAGAATTGAAATACTAAGGGGAATTAAAATTTTAAGTAGAGTCATCAGGGAAGACTTGCAGGAGGTGAGGGAGTCAGCCATGTTTGATATTTGAAGCAAGGGCTTTCTTGTCAGAAAGAAGAGCATTTACAATGGCTTAGAAGCAGGGACCCACCTAGTAGTATATTTCAAGAGCACAGCAAGGAGGCCAATGACTCTCAAGAAGGATAAAAGTGAAAGTAAATGAAACTGTAGTTGAGAGGTAAGAAGAGGAGTCATGAGCAGATCTTATAGATCAGTGCTGTTCAATAGAAAAACTAGACGAGTACATACATAACTTAAGTTTTCCTATTTGCCACATTTTAAGAAGGCAGCAGATGAAATTAACTCACATTTATTTAAAGGAATACATTAAAAATATTGTCACTTCAATCTGTATATGATATATAAAGTGTTAATGAGATATTTTTACATTCTTTTAAAATTTTTAAATAGAATTTATTTTAGATCTATTTTTGGTTTATAGCAAAATGGAAACTATTCCTTCCCCTTTTGTAATAACTTTGAAATCTGGTGTATATTTTACACTTGTAGCTCATCTCAATCTATAATAGCCACATTTCAAGTTCTTACTAGCCACATATGATAGTATATACTACATTGTAAAGCATACATCTGGACACTTGTAGAACTCTATAATAGAATGTGTTCAGGCTTTTGCTTTTAGTGAATTAGGAAGCAATAGAAAAGTTTTGAGTGTAGATTTGACATAATCTGACTTGAGTTTTCACAGGAAACCTCTGGCTCCTATGATGACAATAGACAGAGGGGAGAATGCCACTTTTCCTCATCCCAAACAAGCTTTGAACAAGCTATCCTCAAACGGAAAACTGAATCTAGACAAGCAGAAGTCCAATAACCAGATTCTGGTTTGGAGAAAGTATATAAGCTGTAGTTCTCTGAAGGCCTTGTCTTTGCACAGGCTGTGTCTTATTTCTACAACATGGGACTCTCCATGCTCCACAACTTAAATCATTATCTTCTCTGGGGTGTCTCCCAAGCCTTGGGCAAGAAATAACTTATCCTTCTATAATACTCAAATATGATCCTTGGATTATGTGCTTTTTCTTTTCATGGACTGTGAGATCCTCAAGACAAAAATGTATGACATATCCATCATTGATCCTAATACCCAGTAGATTACCTGAAAGAGACTAAGCTCTCAATAAGCATTTGTTAACCTCAAGCAAAATATCAATTTAAAAAAATCAATTATTATTTAAGTGTTCAAAAAATGGAAACAATGTAAATGTTTATCAACAGTGATATGTTTATACTATGGAATATTATATATCTAGAAGAATGAACAAACTGAAACTACACACAACACAGATTATTAAAGACATAATTTTGAATCAAAAAAGTAAGACCCAAAAGATCATCCACCATCTGATTTCATTTACTTAGCGTTCATTACAGGCATAACAACCATAGCTGACAGATTACTTTTTACACTTGTAGTTAGTGATGGCAAAGGGGCAAGAAGATATTTCTGGGTTCAGATAACATTCTGTTTTTTCTTATATGATATGTTCAAGTTTTAAATTTTCATTTATACACACACACACACACACACACACACACACACACTTTCCTATGTGTATAATATACTACAATCTAAAGTTTACATGGAAGAGATACATAGCTTTCCACATAACAAAAATCATGAATTATTTTAAGTGCAAACCATTGTGTTCAGCTGTAAGTCCTCCTATCCAATATGTAAAAATAAATTTATGGCTAATTAAATGGCATAGAGTAAATGCATGCATTTTTATAATTAAAAATTTCCACTAGTAGAACATATATTAAGTATTGTCTTTCCTCAAAAAAAGTTGATGAGTCATAAATTGGAAAACATTTTAACATGTAATCATTTTGTGTTTTTATTTTAAATTTATGATTTATCTTTTTTCCTTTAATTTTCCTTAAATTATCCTTTAATTGAGCATTTTAAAACATACAAATTAATGTTATATACTTACTTTAGGGCAGCCAGTGATTCCAAAAACAGAGAGATTTTGACCCCACAAAGGAGATGTTAGTCAATGCCTCAAGATATTTTTGGTTGTCCTGACTATTAGGGAAGGCATTGCTAATGGCATCTAGTGTACAGGCCAAGAATGCTACTAAATATTCCACAGTGAGTAGGACAGCCCCTCACAAGAAAGAATTATACAACCTTGTCAGTAGTGCTTAGGTTGAGAAACCTTGTTCAATTGTAATAACATAAAGTTGTTGGAACTTTTAAAACATGATTTTTTGTCTTGACTGATTTAATCTCTTTTACAGATTTTTTAAATGTTTAAATTGCTTTGTTCAAAGTGAATGAATCTTCTCAACATAAATTATGCATTGCTAACATCTTTTAAAATGCTTGTTTTTAAAAGTGTTTGCCATGTTTTTTTTCCAGTTTGCCTTATAAAAAGAAAAATTTTAGAAATACATCATTCATAACAATTTCATTTATTCTTTCTCCAGGCTAGAAGAACAAAAGAATATCTTGTCAGAATTTCAAAGAGATTTAAATGAATTTGTTTTATGGTTGGGAGAAGGAGATAGCATTACTAGTATTCCACTTGAACTTGGAAATGAGCAGCAGCTAAAAGAAAAGCTTGAACACGTCAAGGTAATATTATTTTCTAAACTCTCTCAAGGTCTACTTGTATATAGAGTATATAAATCTATTTTTAGATATATTTAATCATCAATTTCCTGCCCATTATGTTATTTATAGTTTTTCTTACTAAAGTATTTTTCTTATAACTTTATTTTGTCTTAAACCAATGGCTTCCATCCAGTGTACATATGTATGTAGGTATGTGTGTGCACACACACATATGTTTGTATAGGTGCATATATTGCCTATACATTGTGTTTATACATGCATAATGCATGTCAGTTGGTTTTATAACCCATTTGTAGTTCATTTTAGTCATATATATATATTTTTTATTAGTTACTGATGGACCTTTATTTATATATATGTGGTGCTGAGAATCAAACCCTGGGCCTCACACATGCTAGGCAAGTGCTCTACCACTGAGCCACAACCCCAGCCCTCATTTTAGTCTTACTTGATGATTCCACAGCTTTAAGTAATTTCAAAAACTAATTTCAAAACTGAAAAACAGAGTGTGAAATCATTAAATCTAAGTGTAACTGAGAATCTCTTTTTAAATCTGTCTTAGGCTATATATGTAAAGATTTGAATAGAGTGTTTGTGAAAATGAAACTAATTTCTTAGGGAATATCTTAATTGCCAAATCAATAATGTTTTTTTCAGCCTCTAATTAAAGGTGTCAGATTCATTTGAAGCATTATTTTCTTTTGACATGTTTTGTCTGAGGTGTGGGTCATAGTGTTGCTTTACATTCCATACTGATTGAACAATCATCTAGCTTCTTCAAGTGATTTTTCATGCATTGCTACTGTTGTCCACTTCTCAGTGATTAACCTCACCTGTTTGACTACAGTGCTCTGATTGTACAGTTGGATTATTTTTCATAGTTTTGGTTTTGGGTAAGCTACTCTTTGAATCTGTTTTAATGGTTTAAGGAAAGGTGAAAGGGGAAGTGAAATTAATATTTAATCATCCCTGTTTCATGCCAAATATTAGATGAATTTACAAACTGCTAATTTATTTGATCTTTATATCAAACATTTGAAATGGCTGCTATTATCATCCTCTTATAAGGTTGCATAATTAAAAGAAAATGGAATGACTTACATAGCAATGATTCAGTTAGTTTACATGTGCAAATTAGAGTCCAACAACAACCATTTATTTCTATGAAACAGGAAATTTACACCCTAGCAGGGGATGGAATGATAAAATAAAAATATTGCTTAATTAAATAAACAAATATTGAGCACTTACTATATATCACACATTATATAAGAAATCTGAGATTCAAAAAATAAAAAGTCTGCAAACCATTCAATGATGGTTATAACCTGAGAAAACAAACTCAGTCCGTTCTTAGAAATTCATCTTTCCTAAATGTATTGAGTGTCATGTAGCAATATAATTGATGACTCATTTTATAAACATGTTTAGCAGCATTCACTTATTAACAAATATGCATTGATTTTCTATTCTCCTTACACAATCTAGATAAGCATTGTCCAATAAAACTTCAATGATGTTGGAAATATTCTCCATAATCCATCTCCATAGCCACTAGCTCTATGTACCTCTTGAAAGGTGGCTAGTTTGGTGAAGAGCTGAGGAGTATGTTTTATTTTATTGAATTTTTAATGAAGTTTAAATAACATCACATGGCAAGTCGCTACTGTGTTGAACACTGCAGCTCTAGCCATCATAAATAAACAAAATATATATTAACATCATGATGGTTTTGTAGATCTTAGGAAAGGGCATAAACAATGTGATGCTGAATGAAAAAATAAAAAGAAATTTGGGGATGTGAAAGAGTCAAAAATAAGGTTCCAGAATGAAATATCCCGAGTTTGAATAACTGCTGTGTTGTTTCCTAGTTTTACATCCTCAAAGCTGGCATTTAACATCTCTGTCTGTGATTCATTCTAAATAAATTGAAGATAATAGGAACTATTTCATAGAATTATTATAATATGAAGATAAACTGAGAAAATATATGTGAAATGCTTAGCATAGTATCTGGCACTGTGTATATTGAGAGGGTAATTTCTTGTTTACTTAGTGACTTCTTATAACTTGGTACCTGGGATGATGGTGAATTTATTCAGATTGTTCTATTTATGATGGAAATGTGTTTTCAGAATATCTCTATTTGTATTGTTTTAGAGCTCATCATAGCATGTAACATATTTCTCTGGGAAAAAAACTCTAAGGGCTAGAATAATCTAGTGATTTGTAGGAAGTTTTATCCATTTGGGAGTATGTATTTCAGTCTATCAACTCTGTGCTTTGTAGAAAATTGTTGGTATTTGAGGTACCATGGGCCTTTGGTAAAGTTGCTTCATTTTGATAGACTGATCAATAGAGGTGAAGACAAGGTAGCTGGAATTGTGCTGTAATTCATTTTAAACATTGTTGCATTTGTCTGTTTCAGTTACTGGTGGAAGAGTTGCCTCTGCGCCAGGGAATTCTAAAACAATTAAATGAAACCGGAGGAACAGCACTTGTAAGTGCTCCCATAAGCCCAGAAGAGCAAGATAAACTTGAAAATAAGCTCAAACAGACAAACCTCCAGTGGATAAAGGTTAGACATTAACCATCTTCTTTGTCACATGTGTTAAATGCTTCAAGTGTTTGTATTTGTTTTGTTTCCTGGATGCTTTATTGGTGGGGAAAGAAGCTGGTATGTGGATTATAGTTGTGTTCTGCTTTGTTTTATAACCAGACCATTTGATTTGAGTGTATGTTTTGATGTAGATAGAAAAAATGGTGATAGTAGATGGTTTTACATTAGTAAGCAAGCACCAAAATATACCCTACTATTTCTTTGCATAAATTATTCTAAAGAATAATACTACAAATATAATGAAGTAATCAATTCAGTGTTCAAGTGTCTATTCACAGTATTTAAGCAAGATGGAGGTGGTCTAGTTCAATAAGTATCATAAAATAGATAAAATTACTCATTTTTTATCTATAGTATAGACTTAATTGATAAGTGATCTATACTAACCTTCTCAGAAAGGTAGTTCTGTCTTTCTTTCTCTCCTTATTCACTTATGAGTCTTTGTCTTGTCATCTAGTATATTTTTAAATTCTAATATTAAAGATGTTTATCAAAATGAACATAATCTTTAAAAACAAATGGTACATATGAATTTATAATAAAAACCTTCATTCATTGATTCAGTCCCATTTATTTATTGTGGAGGTGGTCTTAGGGATTGAACATAAGGGCACTTTACAGCTGAGTTATATGTTCAGTTCTTTTTATTTTATTTTACTTTTTATTTTGAGACACAGTCTTGCTAAATTGCTGAGGGTCTTGCCAAGTTGCTGAGACTAGCCTTGAATTTGTAATCCTCCTCCCTTAGCCTCCTGGGTCTGGGGGATTACAGGTATGTAACACCATGCCTGGCTCAGTTCCATTTACTGAAAGACAGTAATTTCCTCTACTGTGTCACTAAGGCACCCTTGTCTAAAATCATGTGAACGTATGTGTATGAATGAGCTTTTGAATTCTTTATTCTCTCCTATTTGATAATGTTGTTCCTCCAATAAATACCACAGTGGCTTAATTACAACCATTTTTGTTGTTTTTAACCAGACTCACTGCAATATAAGTGACATACAGTTAAATTCTCCCATGAAAGATATACAATTCAATGATTTTGATATATTACTTTATCATTTTGAATTGTGATAAAACATACATTACCAAGATTTGTTATTTTTAAGTATTTTCAAGTGTACAATTAAGTGCCATCGTTTGCAATCATTATTACCATTTATTTCCAAAGTTTCCCATCACTGCCAAAAAAGACTCTGTAACCATTAAGCAATTGTGTCCCATTAGCCTCTCATAACTTCTACATATCCTATATTCCTCTATGAATTTGCCTATTGTAGATATTTAATTTAAGTGGAACCATACAATATATGTTTCTTTGTGCAAGGCTTAGTACACTAAGCATAATGTTTTCAAGGTTCATCCATGTTGTAGCATGTAGAAAAAAACTATTCCTTTTTATGACTAAATAATATTGAACTATATGTCCATAATATTCATTTTTATTTTAAAATTTGGGTATTTCCAGGCATGGTAGTACATGCCTGTAATCCCAGCATCTCAGGAGGCTGATGCAAGAGGATTGCAAGTTCAAAGCCATACTTAGCAAGGCCCTGTCTCAAAATAAAAAAATAAATAAATAAAAGGGTTGAGGATATAGCTTAGTGGTAAAGTTTCCTTGGGTTCATTCTCCAGTGCCAAGGAAAAAAAATACAATCTGGTAGTGTAAACTTTATTCTTCCTATACAAGATTGCCTTAGCTACTTTTATTCTTTAAATAAATTTTAAAGCTATCTTGTCAATTTTTATATAAAGCCTTCCAGGATATTGATGGAATTGTGTTGAATTTGCAGATCAATTAACATCTTTACAATACCAAGTCATCAAATCTGTGAACATAGTATGTCTCTTCATTTATTTTGATCTTCTTTAGTGAATTTTTAGTAATATTTTACATTTTTATGTATAGAGATAGTGCACATGAAGTATTACACTTAGTCCAAGATATTTGGTGATATCCTGTTATAAATGAGATTCATTTTAAATTTTGTTTTCTCCTTCTTAATAGTTTACGAAGATACATTTGATTTTATATATTGAACACACACCCAGTGACCTTTTTAAATTTACTTGATAAGTAAATTTATTTAACAAGTTTTTCAAATGTTATAAATTTTTAAATTCCTACAATCATGTCATCAAATAGAGACAGTTTCTCCATTTTTTATTCTTATGATTTTAAGGGTGTTTGGTATTTTTTTTTTATTTATTTAGCCTTTTGCACAGACTAGGAACTCCAAAATAGTAAGAAAACAGTGATAATGCAAAATCTTGTCTCATTCCCTGTCACACGTGGAAGGCTTCCAATATTTATCATTAAATATGGTATTTTTGTAGGACTTTTGTCTTCTTAATCAAGATAAGGAATTATGATTTATTTCCACATTACTAACTTTTTATTATAAATAGACAGTGAACTTAAAGTGCTTTCTTTGCATTAATTAAAATGATCTTGTGTTTTTTGTTGTTTGTGAATATGGTGAATTATGACCATTGATTTTTAAAAAAAAATGTTTTAGTTGCAGATGGACAAAATACTTTTAATTTTATTTATTTATTTTATGTGGTGCTGAGGATTGAACCCAGGGCTTACACGTGCTAGGCAAGCACTCTACCACTGAGCTACAACCCCAGCCCGTAACCATTGATTTTTGAATGTGAAACTAGTTTGAGATTTCAGAACTCAACCTTTTTTGATAATGATATATTATACTTTTTATAGATAGCTGGATTCAATATTTTGTTAAGAATTCTATATCTTTGTTCACGACAGGAATTGATCTATATTGTTTTTTTTTTCCTAAAATCTGTCTCAAGTGTTGGTAATAATGTTTGACTGGCTTTCTAACAAGTTGGGACGTTTGGGACATACTCCATTTTTTTATGGAAGAAATTGTTGAAATTTGTATTAATTTTTCTAAAATATTTCAAAAATGCAATTGTGAAGCTATTTGGGCATAGAATGTTTTGTGGGAAAGTTCTTAATAATGGATACAGTTTCTCACATAAATATGAAACTGATTTGGTAGTGTTTTTGTTTGTTGTTTGTTTGTTTTTTGTTTTTTGGTATGCAGGAATTGAACCCACAGGTGCTTAACCACTGCTTAATCACATCCCCAGCCCTTTTTATTTTTTGAGACAGGGTCTCACTAAGTTTCTTAGGATCGTACTAAGTTGTTGAGACTGTCCTCAAACCTGTGCTCCTCGTGCCTCAGCCTCCTGAGTTGCTGGGATTACAGGTGTGTGCTACCACACCCAGCTATACACTTTTTATTTCTTTGAATGTCAGCTTTTGTAACTTGGATATTTTCTCATCATTTTCTCTTTTCAGCATATAGATGTTCTTCAGACATCTATTAATTCTTTATATATTTATATATATAACAATGAAAAAAACTTATCGAGAGCTCTGCATGCCTGACAAGTCTTGTTGACTGAGATATTTTATTCTATGTTCTAAGGCAGATAGCTGACTAAGTGACTTAAGAATAACTTCAAAATTTTGTAATGCAAAGAACTTTGTTTCAAGGTGCTCAGATCTGCTGGGGTTTTCTCCAGCTACCAAATTTAATTTAGTTACAAAAGAATAAGGAACTTTGTTTGTTAGTTTTGATTTATATTTGTTTTCGTTTACTAGAAAATGCTAAGAGAAGACCATTCTTTGTGTGGTAATTTTGAGCTAAGAACAAATACCCTTCTACAAACTTTCAGTTCCCCAAATTTAACCCACTTCTTAGCTCCACCCTTAATGACATAATTCATCTAAACCTTCTACAATTTCTATCACAGTAAGCTCTCCTTAAACCTAATGCATCTTCTCCCTTACTTCATATGTCCCCATATATGCATTCCTCCCAGATATGCTTTTGACCCTCAAGGATGTTTCAAGACCTCTCATCTATTTTTTTAAATATGTTTTTACTTATAGATGGGCACAAAACCTTTATTTTATTTATTTATTTTTATTTGGTGCTGAGGATTGAACCCAGTGCCTCATACTTGCAAGGCAAGTACTCTGCCACTGAGTCACAATCCCAGCCCTCTCATCTACTCTTGATCATGGTTGTACTACCTTTTCAGCACATTGAACACATATTAACTTTGTTCCACCCAAAATTAAAAGCAAATTGTAATCTTTTAAACTGGGAACAAACCCATTCTGAGAAGATATTGCAGAACTGTAATTTTCATGTAACATAAAATGGCTTCTTTCAAACATGGCACAATTACCTCTAAAGAATCATTTGTTAGTCATTAGCACCCAACTAAATTGAGAGTTATGAAGGAGGTATACTGAGAAAAAATTCTCTTTTTTGAAAAAAAAATAATTAAAGACTTCATTTTGAATTTTGTCAGGTTATTTATTATATTTTTAAATGGAGGATGCTGAAGTTCTTATAATAGATCATTTATATGACTAATAAAATAGAACTGAAATAAGTACCAATTTTATGACATTAAATCAAAATGTGTGCTCAGGACTCTATAATTCTAGCAAGTATATATTTGAAAAAATCCTCTTTATTTTCATATATCAATATTTTGTTTCAGTTATGTGAATAATCAGAGTAAAACATATTCAGATAAGTTGTCTTCTACTGAAAAATGAAAAGCTTCTTCTTTTAACTGTGTCACAATAGCCATGTACAAAGACATAGCCACTTGCATATGAGAGGAAAATTATATCCTAGTGATTAAATTTTGTAGCTGCCTAACAGTACAAATAAAACCATTCCTCATAAGAAGAGAACAAGAACTGGGCATGGTGGCACACCCCTGTAATCCCAACAGCTCAGGAGGCTAAGGCAGGAGAAGAACAAGTTCAAAGCCAGCCTCAGCAAAAGTGAGGTGCTCAGCAACTCAGTGAGACCCTGTCTCTAAATAAAATACAAAAAGGCTGGGGATGTGGCTCAGTGGTCAAATGCCCCTGAGTTCAATCTCTGGTACTCCTCCCC